GCCAAGTTATGAGCAAAACTCTGTGGGGCTTGGGGAAGCCAAAATTCGCATTTTCGATCATCAAAATTTTCGAAAAATGGCCCAAATTTAACATTTCAAACTGTGAATGCAGTTTTGATAAGCATAAGAAAACACGCTCTTCGAGGTATTACATTCCTTATTTGGGCCATTATTGGCCAAGTTATGAGCAAAACTCTGTAGGGTTTGGGGAAGCCAAAATTCGCATTTTCGATAAGGGGTACCATCATCAAAATTTTCGAAAAATGGCTAAATTTGGCATTTCAAACTGTGAATGCAGTTTTGATAAGCATAAGAAAACACGCTCTGCGAGGTATTACATTCCTTATTTGGGCCATTATTGGCCAAGTTATGAGCAAAACTCTGTAGGGTTTGGGGAAGCCAAAATTCGCAATTTCGATAAGGGGTACCATCATCAAAATTTTCGAAAAATGGCTAAATTTGGCATTTCAAACTGTGAATGCAGTTTTGATAAGCATAAGAAAACACACGCTCTACGAGGTATTACATTCCTCATTTGGGCCATTATTGGCCAAGTTATGAGCAAAACTCTGTAGGGTTTGGGGAAGCCAAAATTCGCATTTTCGATTTCATCAAAATTTTCGAAAAATGGCTAAATTTGGCATTTCAAACTGTGAATGCAGTTTTGATAAGCATAAGAAAACACGCTCTACGAGGTATTACATTCAAATCAATTGTGGTGCCCTCGATGATGTACTGCATCCAACTATGGGGCTTGGCTTCGGATTCTAACGTTATGAAAATTCAAAGGGTTCAAAACCGGGCGTTGCGCATGATTGCAAATGCGTCTTGGTACGTCAGAAACAAAGCTCTAGAAGATGACCTCCACATTCCCTCTATTAGGGAACAGATAAACAGGCACTCGAGTCGGTACAACGATCGTCTCACAGCTCACACAAACCACCTAGCCTCCTCGCTGGTTTACGCTACTATTAGAAGACGTCTAAAGCGATGGCATCCAGCCGATCTCTGGACAAGAGGACGCCAAACTTCTCGAGTCCTAAAGCAGTAATTTATCATTAGCATTTAGCATTGATCTCTAGTTATATATTTATAAAAATTGGTTAATTTCCTTCCTGTTATGTATTTATGTTATTTGTTCTTTGTAGTATTCAACGTATTATAGTCATTAAGTTGGCTGATTGACGTTTAATAAATGTATTGTTATATCAAAAAAATAAAAAAAAAAGTTTTGATAAGCATAAGAAAACACGCCCTACGAGGTATTAAATTCCTTATTTGGGCCATTATTGGCCAAGTTATGAGCAAAACTCTGTAGGGTTTAGAGTAGCCAAAATTCGCATTTTCGATAAGGGGTACCATCATCAAAATTGTCGAAAAATGGCTAAATTTGGCATTTCAAACTGTGAATGCAGTTTTGATAAGCATAAGAAAACACGCTCTACGAGGTATTACATTCCTCATTTGGGCCATTATTGGCCAAGTTATGAGCAAAACTCTGTAGGGTTTGGGGAAGCCAAAATTCGCATTTTCGATAAGGGGTACCATCATCAAAATTTTCGAAAAATGGCTAAATTTGGCATTTCAAACTGTGAATGCAGTTTTGATAAGCATAAGAAAACACGCTCTACGAGGTATTACATTCCTTATTTGGGCCATTATTGGCCAAGTTATGAGCAAAACTCTGTAGGGTTTAGAGTAGCCAAAATTCGCATTTTCGATAAGGGGTACCATCATCAAAATTTTCGAAAAATGGCTAAATTTGGCATTTCAAACTGTGAATGCAGTTTTGATAAGCATAAGAAAACACGCTCTAAGAGGTATTACATTCCTTATTTGGGCCATTATTGGCCTAGTTATAAGAAAATCTCTGTAGGGTAGCCAAATTTTAAAATTTTCGAAAAATGGCCCAAACCTGACAAATTTGAATGATGGCACCCCTTATTAAATATAATCTACAATCTTTTTTACTTTTACTATAAACTTAAATCTTTTACAAAATATTATTTAAATTTTAAAGAAAATGTTTATATTAAAACATAATTAAGTTAAAAATTATAATTCCTCAGCAATATTTTCTAACCTACTCAAATTCCCCAGAAAAAAAACCAAACAAAAAACAGAAATTCCTTGATGCCAAAAGCTCATCTTTTGTCCCATGTCAGCATCTTTTTTTGTCTGCAGTTCATTAAGAGTCGACTTGGAGGCTTCTCTTTCCTCATTTTTTTTTGGACCAGTATCTGCATCTAAGTGCGGCTATAGCTTTGGCTATATCTCTGTGTGCGACTGTCATTTGAGCGCCATTTATGCGGCACATTCAACATTATCAGCATTTATTCGACTCTCCTAGCCTGTTTTTCTTTTTGGGGTTTTTTGGTTTTTATTTCGCTATTTTTCCAGCGTAATTTCATAGCCCAGTTAACGTGGCTAGGCGGAGGGGTAGTGGAGAGGGGTAGATGGTGAATGTGTGGTACCACCCTGACAAGTGTTGTTGTTTTTGCTGTTCTTATAGCCGCCAACACTGATAACAATGTTGGATGATGAAAGCCATTGATGGGACCTGCAGCAATGACGTAGACTCATGATGATGATGATGATGGGCTATGGGGACAATGATTAAGCAGGCGATGATGAGGAACAGAATGATGATGATGATGATGGCTATGGTGTCTGGTTTACAAACACTAAAAGAAAAGTTCTATAGTTAAGTTTGTTCTATTTGTTAAGGTAAAGTAGAAGGAGAAATATCAAATATTTTATTTTTTAATTTTAACTTTCACTTTTTCTAACTTGCTGTTACAGTATCTAAAGATTCATTTCATGGTCAGATAAAAATAAGCAAAAAGGTGACAGTTTTCAACCTATAGCTTGACCCATTTAACAAATATATCTAAAAAAGAAGCCCTAATCCCCAGTATTGTTTAATTTTCTGCTAAAAGTTAAGTAAATTTGCTTGGAAAGCAAGTTGTATGGAAAATTTAAGATGTTAGGAAACAGAATTGGCTACAGAAAAGTAAATTTTCCAGTTTTCTTAGCTAGTTTACAGCAGTTTCTTAGAACAGTTTATCAAAATAAACTAAACCTAATAATAATCATTGTTTTTCATTTCAAATATTTAGTTTTTACACAATTTCTCTAACAAAAACTGTATCAAAGAGATGATCCTTTTTTCACCGTGCCCCACAAGCACATAAAACGCACACAAACACCACAGAAAGCTTCATATAAAGCATATAAAGTTGCGCTTTATCAACAATGTGTCCAATTTATGGTGGGCGAATGCCATCTACGAGTATGTACGAGTGGGAAAGGGGGTGCTGTTGCTGGTCACATAGCTGGCGATCTACCCATTTAACCCCTCCTGCCACCACTGACTCCTTTTCCATCACCACGAATCTCGCACTCTTTCGTCTCGTTCTTATTATTTTTATTGCTCGTCGGACGCACTTAGGCAAAGTGCAGTAACCCTGTCCCCTTGTCAACCCAGCGCCCCCCTTCTCTTAGCTCTTCTTTAACCAACCATTTTGGAGGAGAGGAAGGGGGGCGGAGTTGGAGGAGGAGGCAGGGAGACCCAAAAAGATAAGCAAGAGGAACACGAAAAAATCAGATTTCATTGTAATTGATTTCTTTGATGCGCGAAGCAGGGAGACTTTGGAAATCGAAAAGATATTAGAAACGACTAACAAATACCTTGTAATTTGTGTCTTAAACATAATAAATGATAATAAGTTAAAAGTTAACTTAACTTTAGTAAGAAAAATAAAGATTAAAACATAAGTAAATGTAGTTAAGGTCTTAAAGTTTCTAACTAGAACAAATTCTTACCTCAAAAAAGTAAAGCCTTAACTTAGTCATAACTACCCAAAAAGAGTATAGGATAAGAAGCCCTGGGTGAGCAAAAGAAGAAGAAGATAAGGTTTGGTTTTTTTCAGGGAGTTGGGGGAAAGTATTTGAGGTCGTCGGTACTTTACACCTTTTTTTTTGAGGTTACAATCAACTAAGACAGACTAAAATTAGAGCACAGCGTTAGACAAACAAGTCTTCAACGCCTTCGCTTTCACTCCCTGCCCCCTGGTCCACTATAGATAGACCTCTCTGTCTAACCCTGGTACTGGCATCTCTTTCTATGGCTGCTGCGACGTCGACTGACAGATGCCGATGGCAGTTTGTCGTGGCTGCCGCTGTCAATTAAGTCAAATATGATCGAGTGCGCGGCGTCATAAATCTCATACAACTGTCAAATTTTAGACAACTTCAGACTGCGACACAATCCACAACTTACACTGTACAAAAAAAGACTAATTTTAATTCAATTTTAGTTTAAAAGAATACGAAAAATAACCTTTAATTAGAAAGTAAAAGTTAATGTTAAATCTGATCTATTAGCAGAATCTTAAGAACTTTGAAAGTCTAAAATTCATATTGATTAATTAATTAGATTAATACTTTACAGCTTTTCTAACAGTGCACCATTCTGTTGGTGTGTGTTTGCCGAGTGTGTGACAGTGTGTCCAAGTGCAACACCCAACTATGGGCAGGCAATTGCAACTGCAACTCCAACTGCAGCCGCACATTTACAGCAATTAAGCCAAGACATAATCAAGGGTTATGGATGGGGGTTATGCGGTGGATGTGGCCGAGGCAGTACCAATAGCAGTGGGTCGGTAAGTGGGGGTGTGCGGGGTGTTGCACATTGTCTGGGAATCAAACCGAAGAATGTTTAATTGTTTGCCTTTGATTTATACTCGCGGTCCATGGGCACTGCAAATGTATTGCAGTGGGAAATCGAAAAATGGTCAGTCAAATATTACAGAAAATATTGATAAATATTGAAATGGAATTATGAATGCTTTCAATTTATATTTAATAATAAATTTGAAAGTGCAAGTATTTTGGCAATGAAAATAATCAAAATATTAGTTTACGGACACTAATCATGATTTCCCATTTAAATCAAGGTTCTTATTACGCTTTCTTGAATTTTAAAATCTAATGTTTACCTTTTTTCCCATAAATACATTTTCCAACACAGATTTCATTTTTCCCGCATACATTCTAAAAATTATACATACTTTTTACATATTTATGTAAATTTGCAAACATATCTACATACGTATCTCCATACGCCTTCACTCGTCCCGCGGCTTTCACTTGTCCCGCGAAGCACCCTTTGCATTTTGGCTAAGCAATAGTTTAATTCACCATGTCAACAAAACTCAAAACTCATTGCTGGTATCACTTTTAATGTATTATTAAAACAATATACACAATTTAAATGCAAAAGCAATAAAGTCAATGCCGCTTCGACTGCAACTCTTTAAGAATGAAAACGGAATGACCGAAAATGCGTATAGATAACTTAAAAACGCCGGCGCAAAGAAGAGGATTACTGTTAGATTTCCTTGCACAGATCTCGCCATCTCTTTTTCCTTGTCAACACTTCTTCCTCTTTTCCAAAGCAGAGCAAAATACTACACAGAAAAAAAAAGAGGCCACTTCTTAAAATATAATATAACATAATATATATTGATTTCCTTAGTTATATATATCTTAAAAATACAATAATTTTTTAAACATATTCTATAGTTTAAAAATATATATATTTATATAATATATAATATTTTCCTAAGTTATTTTATCCTTAAGTAAACAAATATTTACTACACATTTTTTATTTTATAATTAATATTAATTTACTTATTTAATATCATTACTCATATATATATATTTATGGAATGTTAGTCCATTTCCTATCCTAACTTTTTTTAAGTGATTGATTTGAAGGGAACGAGAGAAACGAAATGAGAGAGGAGAGGTAAAGCGCAGATCTTTGCAAGCTTCACCTCCCTCGCCTATCGACAGAGCTAACTGTTGTTTTCTCACTCGTTTGTCAGTCTGAATGAATTGCAACCGCGAAAGGGTGCTTGCTTACATTAAATGTGTTTTTAGTTTTGAAAAGTGTTAAAAAGTGTAATAAAGTATTAAATTAATTAACAAGAAGTGATCGCAGGGCTGTGCTTTGTAATTTGTAAAACATAAATTGTGTTAATAGTGAATTAAGCTGTTTGCTGTACGAAAATGGAAGGGGTGCTCCGCTGGACAAGTGAATGTGTTGGCGACACCTTACAAATACATACATACATACGTATGTACATACATATGTGTGTCAGTTTGTATGTAAGTGCATTTGAATTTGGCTGGCCCTATGGGTAATCGCAAGTGCTACGTTTCATGAGGTAAATCAAGGTAAAATAGCTTAATGCTAACTAATCCCAATTAGAATATTGAATAATATTGAAAACTGAGTTATGTAAGTAGCGCTAAAATATATTATGTATTACTCGTACATAATTCGGTTTGCATTGACTTTTGTTCGATTTGGTCAACGGATAACAGGCGCTAGGGCAGCAAAGAGGATTACAGTTAGAAATGCTTTTGCACAGATCTTTGCCTTCCATCTCCTCCTATTTCGTCTTCTCTTCTCTGTCAAAGCAAAGTATAACATTTTTGGTGTTGGAATTGCTTTGTGGGTGAAGAGAGAAACGTAATGAGAGAAGAGAGGTAAAGTGCAGATCTTTGTAAGCTTCACCTCCCTCGCCTATCGACAGAGCTAACTGTTGTTCTCTCACTCGTTTGTCAGTCTGAATGAATTGCAACCGCGAAAGGTTGCTGGCTTATAGTAAATTTGCGTTTGGTTTTAAAGTGTTTTAAAATGATATAAAAAGTGTTAAATTAGTAATTAAAAAGTGATCGCAGGACTGTGATTTGTAATTTGTTTAAGATTAATTGTGTTAATAGTGAATTTAGTGGATTGCTGTGCGAAAATGAAGGGGGTGCTCCGCTGGACAAGTGAATGTATATATGGATGTATGGATGTGTAAGCGACGCCTTACAAATGTGTATGTATGTATGTTAATGCATGTGCATGTGAATTTGGCTGGCCCTATTCATATGCATACATACATATATATATACATATATATGTACATACATGGGAATTCGCAATCGTTACGTTTTGTAACAAAAATCAAGGTAAAGAAGCCCAATTTTAACTACTCCCAATTAGAATATTGAATAATGATGAAAATTTAAGTATGTAAGTGGCGAAAAAATGGATTTTTCTATTTCTTTTGTGAGGTTTCCTTAGCCTTTTGCTTGGCTTGCCGAACGGCTAACAGTTATTCTACCGCAAGTACTTTTTTGTTTGCTAAATACAAAGACAGATCGGCTGAGCAAGTGGAAATGTGAGTATGTATTTTATTTTTAAAAACTTTTAAAGACATTTGAATAATTTTCACAGGAAAATTTTATGCAAATCGGAAATAAGATGTTTTGTGTGGAAAAAGGAGGTGCAAATATGCAATAAATAACAATAAAAACCTGGAAATGTAAGGTAAGTGGCCCTGAAATTGATCTATCTTGTTAAAATTAAAATATAAGGATATTTATTATATTTAAGTGACGCAAATTAAGGCTTTTAATGTATTATTTTTTGTATGCTTTTGAGGAAAATGATGTCACCTTGGAAGAGAATGTTTCTTATATTTATAGGATAATATATGTACTTTGGTTGATCCATTTCAGCTCCCGCACTTCACTTTCGGGTGCAATATTTCTTTCTGGGCAATGACTTCGCCTTCATCCATAAATATATAGACCCTCTATACCTTATTGAGCAATTGCGAAATCGCTGTCCAGGAACTAATATTGCATCCGAAAAATATGAGCGCAAGCTGATATTGATTCGCCAAAGCGAATTGTCCTTTAAGAAGGAATTAGTCTACCGTGACGTGGAAAGTCTTAGCTGCGACGATCTTGAGCTTATGCTATTCCTTAGAAATCTTTATTGGCCTTAGGAATTTTGTTCTAGTCCATGGCAAGGATTTTATTAAGTCATCAAGCGTTCACATCAGTTAAAGGTGAAAGATTCCAGAAAAGCAAAAGCCAATGTGGTCCGATTTCTGGAATTCTATAAGCTTAAATATTGTTGTCGGTCGTTTAATATGACATTTATAATATCTTTACCTTTATGTAGTGAGTTTTAACTTCTTATTTTTAACATTTTTCACAATTTTGTTGATTTTTTGGGATTGAAAAACATCTTTACTGTTTGGACTTCGATAGTGAAATAATTTTTCACTTCGTTTGACAGTTAATGGCATGGCCAACTTTGGTTAGTTTAAAATCAAATCAAAAATGTGGCAATATCAGGAGCATATGAATTTGTTTCGAATTGCCTTACTCGGCTCGTTGTACGATTTATGGATGTGGAAAGATGTAACATTTCTAGAGTTCTATATATCGTAAGATTAGTCAGTTGCTTATTAGATAATTTTGATTTTCTATACATTACCTTTACCTTTTTATTACCTTTTCATTTACCTTTTTTACTGAGACAAAACAAACTTTATTTCACACGAAATTTCAAGGCCAGTTGAGAACATTTCGATTTCCCCGATTTCTATAAACCTAAATGCTGTTATAAGGCGGTTCCATAGAAAATTGGAAATCTTTTGAAATTTTTTTAATTTTGATTTTAAACATTTTTCACAATTTTTCTTTAGTTTATTTTTGGATCTAAAAGTTTTCCTTACTGCCTGGACTACGGAAGTGAACTAACTTTTTACTAAGACAAAACTGAACTCATGTGACATGAAAAGCCAAAGCCAAACTTGGTTTAAAATCGATTTCAAAATTTTGTCATACTAAATCAGCTTTCTAGTTTAAAAAGGTGAACACCTCTAATAGAGGGCGCAAATCCTTAACAGAATGATGGGTATTTGTTAGTAGAGAATAAGGTTTCTTGCTTCTGAATATATTTTTACCACAATTTTCATTTCATATTAGCAAGTCAAAAGCCAAAAACCAAAAAATTCATAATAACACCAAAAACTAGTCATTCTTTGGCTCTTTTTTTGGTAAATGTATTTATGTTTTGGTTTCCATTTAGTTCCATTCACTAAACCGAAACGGAAAGCAACATTTTTTTTTTTGGAGCACTCGTCGGGTGACTTGAGGTGACTATAAAAAATGAAAAATGAGAGAAGTAGAAAAACAAAAAAGGAAAACCCCCTCTTGCCAACAGACACGTAAATTATACAATTTAGCTGATAATCATATGGTTGGAATATGGTGGGCGTGACGGGTAGTGAATGGCAAATACAGGTGAAAAACCCAGGGAGTGAGAGAGTTTAACTAAGTGAATATTTGCTCTGAATAAATCAGCAGTTAATTCTGAACGTTATAAAGGCAGTTAATTGAATATTTGTTTTTAAATTAACATAAAGTAAGAATTAAGTGAGAAGTTTTTTGGGCAATAATTAAAAGTATGTTTTTATTAGGAAATCAAAAGGAGGGTATAGGGTAAGGAGTCGAGGGAAGGAGAAGGTTAAGGAGAAGAAGTTGACAACGAGGCCAAGATCATAGCAGCCACGATACCGATCGCCAGAGCCAAGTGAATAAGCCAACTCAAACTCCATTGGAGAACGGCGGCCAATTCAGCTTTTAAGCTTTAACAAAAAAATAACTAAAAAACTGCAATGCAAAATGCGATGAACGGATTGATTGAATCGCATTACACGAACTAACTTCGCACCACAGTGGTTATTGCTTATTGGGCAACCTAGAACCATGAACATGACCCATCAATCGAAGGTTTTTAGTTAAAGGTTAAGCCAGATTTTCGATCTTAAATGTCTTTCTGTCTGTTTTTTTTTTGGTTCTAACTGACATTTAAGACTTTGTTTTTTTTGTGTTTTTCATTCCAAGACCATTTTATAGCCTATAATTTGGTCTTAAATCATAAAAATAGTAAGCCTAACTTGGTTAGAAAAATGTTTTTGAATGGATTAACTAATGTTTAGCTAGTTATTGAAAGCAGATGGTGGTGATATATGGTGTTTAAGGAGAGAAATAATTATTTAAAAGCTGCTTTTTGTTGGTTATTAAAATGTTAGGATTGAAGGTGAAACAGAATCTTAGTTATTGTTTGAAAAGTTGATGGATTTTAACCCAATTTTAGAACTATTTTAGGGTGTTATGCCTCTTAGGAGCTTGTGTTTATATTTTTAGTAAATTTTATTTACAATTTTGGTTAATATTCTTTACTTTTAGTTAGTTTTTAGTAAGTAAAATTGTATTTTTGTTACAGAAAAATGACAGAGATTCGGATTATAACTTCTAGCTTCCACAGTTTATGGTCAATTCCTAATAAGTCAAAGATTAGGTGATAAAATTTCAGTTTTCTCAGCTCCTAAACTTAATTTTTCTGTTAGTTAGTTTATACTTTATAACCAATTTCTAACAAGCCAAAGATTAAATAATAGATTTTCAGTTTTTTCAGCTCTTTAACTTTATTTTAAATGTTTTTTTTATTACTTTATAATTTAAAAGGTTTAGATTACAAATTATATTATAGAAATTTGATGTATTTATTTCCATAATAATTCACCAAACCTTTTTTTTTATCTTTCCACTTAACTAACCTTGTAAGCCTCCTCGTTTACTGGCCATATTAGGCAACTTTAATCTGGATTAAATGGGCTTATTTTGTCAAAAACATTTCAACAATCTTAAGGTTCGCCTTAACCACCTAATTAAATTTTCAATTTGGATTTTTAGTATCTCTCTCACTTTGTTTTTTTTCTGTCTTTTTAGGAATGTGTTTTTAATTTGTTTTTGGGGCCCACTGTGCCTGGTTAAGGCCACAAACCGAGTGGCCCAATATGCATAGATCTTACCAGAAACACTGCGCCCTCCCCCCTACGATCCATTGAGTCCAAGCCGTCGGAATACTTTGCATCCAAAAATGTTTGTAGATTACTGCCATGGCTGTGAACAGCATGATGCCATCAGCCGGGCCACAAACATTGACCGCGACTTGGACTCCAACTTCAACTTCAAGCTCTAGCTCTAGCTCTGAAGTCGAGGCTTGAACTGTGACTGGGAATGGGAATCGGGGATCGGGTGGAGTTATCTACGTGCATTGCTCAGTGGCCTTCAATCGCCAGACAACGATGTGGCCCATGGAAATGAAATGGAACTAAATGAATTGTGGCCAAGAGAGCGGACCAAAGCGGAGGCCCAAAATGAAAACTTCTCCCATGAGAGTTTGTGCAGTTGGAGAAAAATGTGATTGGGAAAGTGTATAAATTTGAAGGGTAAGTGGAAGTTTTTTAAATATTATTTTGTTTGTTTTGTTTTAAGTTAAGAAAAATGTATAAAAGGGATATTCAAGTTTAAGTTATCTATGGGAAAAGTCATCTTGTAGTACTTAAACTTTAATTTAAAGTGTTAAATCAAAAGTTTTTATCACTTAGTTAGTTCCTTAGTACACTTACTGTTTCTCACGAAGATATACCATAGTAGAACCTCCTCCCTTCCTAACTCGAAATAGTTAAAAAGATAAATGGGATCATAAAAGAGAAATCTATAAAATAGAAAATCTTCTTAACTTGAATTTATTTCACTAATAGAAGTTGATTTATGCCAAGAATGTTAAATTTAATTTCCCTAGTCTTTCTAGTTTCTTTCATATCATAAACTTAACTTGAATCCTGATCTAACCCCCCCGTTCTTTCTCCCAGTGCATTGCGAGGTGGGGCCCTCTAAACTCGGTGTCGAAGTCCAAGACTCCAAGACTCCGTTATCGCCACGCATATTTGCATGGCTGCATTTTCCTCTACCATCTTATTTTGCTTCTTCTGCATATTTCCCATAATTTCTCAATAACTTAACGTATATCTAGTTCTTTTTTAAGCCCCTTAATATCTTTTCTGTTTGGTTTTCTTATAAATGGTTTAGCATAACATAAATTTGTGAGGTTTTTAGAAAAGAAGAAAAATTTTTCTTAGATTTAGTTTAAAGATCAACTAGGAAGGGCTTGTGGCTTGTAGCTGTGAAAAAGTAAACCATTTTGGGTTTAAAAAATATTAAAGTTGTTTTACAAAATAATAATAAGTTTGATAAGTTGAAAATTAGTAAAGACAAAAACTAAATTTCCAGTCAAATATTTTCTAAAAAATCAGCTTAAAGTTGATAATTTGCCAGGTAGGTTACCATTTTGAGTAATCAGGTAAATCACTACATCATACTACGTGCCTAGGGCATATATATACATCTATATAGTCACCCATATGATTCACACTCCATTTACAAAAAAAGCACGACAGAGAAAGCTATAGGCTGTGTGAGGGAGAGCGAGAGAGGGCTAGAGGGCCCAAAGCAATTTGCATTTCGTTTTTAACAATTGACAAATGATTCATAGGCTTCGGTTTTTGGATTCGAAATCAGGGTAGAGGCAGGCGGGTATAGAAGAGGGTTAACCGATCGATAAGCATTTCAACGGGTTGGACAGCTTCAGTCAACTGGACTAACTCCCCCCGCACTGTTGTTCCCCCCCCGACCTCTAAAAACGAGACACCAAGTGCCCTTGAAAATGGCAAAAACACATGCTCCATGGAGCTGCAGTCATCCATCGATCCATGGCTCTTTTGTGGCCAGTCGCCAGTCCATTTGAAGTTGAAGTTGATGTGGATGTGAATGTGGTGGAGTGAGCTAGGGAGCTGGGGGAGATGGAGATGGTGGAGATGGAGATGGAGTGAAGTGAGTGGCACACAAAAGATGCCTGGCAAAAATGAGCAACAGCAATTGCACAGTGGTTGCATGTTGCAGAAAGTTTAATTACACACCTATGGGGTTGAATTAATAGTAGTTGATGGGGATTTTTTGAAAGTTTAATTTCCATATAATATATATTTATGAAGTTTTATATGAATTTTATGATCAGTTTTTGAAATGTTGAAGATTTACTAAGGAAAAATGAACTTTATTTTCGTATAAAATTCGATAGGGAAAAGGAAATATCAAAGAACTTTAAGACTCTTAACTTGATCTTTATAAATCATGATAATAATTATGATCTGTTTGATTAAGTTTTAAGCTTAAACCTGATTCTTAACTAACTAGGAGATCTACTTATATATTTTTCGGATATTTTCTTGAAATTTTTTAAAGAAAAATCTTTGAAATTCTTCTTTTCCTCCGTTTATCTCTAATAATGAAATACACAAAAAAATTCCCAACTTATTACCTTAAAATCTAAATTTTTTTTCTTTAAATACAATTATAATTCTCAAGTCACTGTTCAGCTGGGCCAACAACATAACATAATGCCACACGAGCTTCATGTAGCAACAACGAGTGGAAACCACAAAACGGCAATTACGTTGCCACATTGCCATTGAGGCGACGTATCCGTTCGGCCGGGCAAACATAACAAATACAATCATAAATAATATGATTATGATACCACATACTGTATGTAAGCCCTGCTTGCTTGCTTGCTTGCTCCATCTTCCGTCTCACCCTTCCCCCCCTGTACTATCTACCGACCTCGAATTTTCCTCTGCGCATGCGCAACTTGCCTTCTAAAGAGGAGGAGGGAGACCCCAAGAAGTCGTCGCTGTTGTTTGACAAAAAAAAAAAAAAAAAGAAATATCCCAAAGAAATATAAAAGAATGCCTCTTGCACGTTGTTGCACGTTCTTTTAAGCTGGTCTGTGGCCGAGAAACTATGCCACATAAAGTCACATATTTTTTGAGTTTATACTTAAAATATCTAAAGAGCAGGAAAGTTGATACACAAAAATGTCTTAAAAAAAAAATGAGAAAAGAAGAAAGTTTTTAGTACGTATGGATGTGATACTAGATGATAAGATATAAAAGGATAAGATAAATTGTAAAAGAATAAGATAGGATATGATATGATAGGATGTGATATGATAGGATACGATATGATAGGATACGATATGATATACAAAATAGAGGCAGCAGAAATCGTTATTCTAAAAGGAACCAAATGGGGATCTTATAGGAAATGATATAATAGGATATAGTAGGATATTATATGATATGATAGGATAGGATATAATAGGATAAGATAGGACGTTATATGATATGATAGAATAAGATATGATGTAATATGATATGATATGATATGATATGATATGATATACAAAATAGAGGTACCAAAAATTGTTATCCTAATGGGAACTAGATTAGGATCTTATAGATCGGTTTATTTTGAATATTATTTCTCTTATAATAGTTCTTATAATAACTCTTACATTTCCCATAAAGTATATATTTCTTTTTACTGATATATGAATAAGGTTTACTATTTATACATTTTAAATAGATCAAAGGGTTTTGTAAGTAATTCCTAAAAACAGTTATTGAAAGATTAAAAATTGTTGGATATTTAGGCATAAAAGTTTAAATTGCTAAAATAATATAAAAAATAAAAATATTTGGAACTGATGTGATACTAAACTGAAAACTAAAACCATTTATAGAATTCTAAACATAATATAGTGTTAAATAAGAGTGCAAAATTTAAGGTTTTTACTTATATTTAAGATCATAATTTTATTACTAAACTAAAAGTTGTCTAAATAGGTTTAGGATTTTAAAGAAAGGTTTAATAATAACCTTACATATTATATCATTTTTAATCATAACTCATCATAAAACACCATTTCCATTACCTTAAGAAGGTTTTTCGAAAACTTCAAAAGTCTATTAAGGTGGCACTACCTTATGTGAGGGTATGTAAATGTTATTTCATTATCGTGCCATGACAATCAGTCAGCACAGTCAGTTGAAGTCGGCTTAAGGCCGCTTTGGCCTGCCGCTCTCGTTGTTCGTCGTTCGTCGTTCGTTGTTGGTTGTTGGTCGTTTCGTTGTTCGTCACGTTGTTCTTGGGTGTTAGCTATGCTGTTCAACATGATCGCCAGGCCAGGCCAAGAGCCATGAGTAATATTTGTACAACACAGGCCGTAGCAGCAGCAGCAGCAACAGCGGCAGGCAGCAACGCCCTTTTTTGTCGGCCCGCCCCCGACCATTTTGGCCAAGTTAGCAACCAAAGTCGAAACCGAAAACCAAAAAACTGAAAACAGAAAATGAAAACGAAGCGGGGTTAAAAGATATAACGAAGTTTAGCGGCGAGCGAATGAGAGCCATTAGCAAAGTCAAGCGCCGCCAAAGTAGCCGCCGCCTAAGCTTTTGATTTATCTAAAGGCAATTTTGGATACCCTATATGGGTATTACTAAATCTTAGGAGTAGTTTTAAATAAATTATTTACAAGTTTTTAACATCAAACTGTTGTTTCGCAAAAGGTTTACAAAATGATGAATAAACTTTACTGATCTTTAAAAATGGTCTTTCAAACTTCGATCTCCTAAGGTTAACTTGATTTTCATATGTAGTTTTCTTCTTAGTGATTGGTAACAAAAGACAGGGTCGGGGCGCCTCAGTTTTCGGGGGAACTAATTGGGGTGTGAGCTGACACACATTTTCACACGTACATATCAAGTGGGTTGGTTGGTTCCAGGGAAATCGATTAGGTTTCTTGAGGAAAACCAATTGCAGATAGATTATTACTGTATTTTTTTAGTTTACAGATTTGAAAGCTCAAGTAAAGTAATGAATAAATCAATGTTTTATGTTTTTTTTTTTAATTAGATTTGCATGACCCCTTCTCGATTAATTTATCGATTCTTTTTGGTTTATGCTTCTGCGTTGTGGATTTCAAAATATAAAGTTTTATATTCAATTTGTTGTTTAAGTTTGACAAGTTTGAGTAATTATACGTTGAAATTTATTTTTTAGGGTCTAAATATATAATATTTGATATTTTATCGATAAATTTATCAATAGGATTGGACTCTGCCTAGTAGTTCCATTAAATTTAAATTTAAAGTCATAATAATCATAATAAAGGGTTTTAAGGGTTAAAAATGTCTACTAAAGGGGAACTTATAATGTTTAAGCCTTAGATGGGTTATTTGCTCTTTTAACTTATCGATAAGTTTTATACATTTCTTTTTTAATAATTACAGCTTATAATATGTTATCAGAACCTTAAGTTTTCCAAAATTGCAATATTCTTTCAAAAATCTTTAAGAAAAACATAATTTTTAAGATAAAGAAATGTTAATTGGCCCGATTAGTTTATCGATAAACCTAAAAATTGCTTTCTTTTTGTGGAATCAGAAGTAATAACTTATCAGAAGTTTAAGTTTAGGAAACAATCCTATTATAATCTAAAATTCTTTCATTTAGTTTTGTAAAAAACCATCACATGAAAGTTATCATTATTAGAGTATCGATAGATCTGCCATAAGAACTCTTTTAGCATTTGAAGTCCGCGCTCTCTTTTTTCTTCTTGTCAAACAGTCAGAGGGGTGCGGGGGCGGTCTGCAAGCGCAGCTGCTGTCATTGTTGTTGCTGTGGCATTTTTCAAATTTGCGCATTTGTCTGCGCTTTGCATAATTTTCGTCTTATTTATTTTGCGGTTTTTTTCATTTTTTGTTTATTTTTGCTTGTTGCGCCTGCCTGCCTGCCTTCTCGCTTCTTGCTCTGCCTGCTTCTTACCATATTTTGGGTCATATTTTGTTGTTGTTGTTGTTTTTCGCTCGCAGCACAGCAACATTTTGCGTCCGAATGTGTGGTGTTGGACTTTTTGGAGTGTTTTGCATGTGGCGGGGCAATTCTTCTAAGTGGCCAAAAAAGAGAAGAAAAACAAAAACAAAGCAAAGAAAAGCACAGTCAATAGGAAAACAAAAACCGCAGAAATAATAAAACGAACAAATAAGAAAAATAAGAGAAGAAATACCAGCCAGCCAGCAGAAACAATAAAGTTCAGAGTTCGGCCTCCAAATGAGGCACAAATGGTCACCCAAAATAATGGTGGGAATCGAAGGCGGAGGCGGAGGCGCAGGCATGTTGCACACAAGACTATAGTCGATCTAAGCCAATTGTCCAGTTCAAATTGTTGCTCCTTTTTTACATTTATTTTTAATTTGATTGCTGATTGAGTGGGTTGTTTTTATGGAGGTTAAAATGGCTTAAGCGTTAAATCGAAACCGCAATGTGGTTAAGGTTTTTCTTTTTGTATTTTTCATTGATAGGTTGCTACGTTTTTTATATAAAACTTTTTAGATATAGAAATTTAGAGGGGAAAAGTATAATGAATAAACCATAATTATCAACAATAAGCTGATATTTTGTTTAAAGTTTAAAAACCGAATCGAAAGCATTTAGTTCTACTACCAGCTTTTTATTTTTTTGTTAAGCTTAGCTTAAATTTGTTACTATTTTGGGCCAAATTATGCCGCTCATTCAACGAAATGTGATATGCGAGACCTCAATTAAAACTGTCATTAGTCACCAATTTTAAGTTGGTTAATTCTTAGGTCTTAGGTGGAACTGCATTATTAGAGGTGGAAAATAACAAAGGGGGAGTAGGTTTTTGTAATGTTTTTTTTTTAGACATTTTTAATTGAAAATTAAAAAATGATGAATATATAAAAGAGTAACTTAATGCTAAGATCAAAAAGTCACAAAAAGTTCTTAACTAGACAAAACTTTTATGGTTTTCTAATATTAAACAAAAGTAATTTAATTTTCTATATTTTTTAATTTAAAATTGCCTTAACAATTATCTGTAAATTTCTTAATTTTATTTTACCAAAAACTTTAAATCTTTTCATTAACATTTTATATATGAAATTTAACATAAAAAACGACATAAAACTTATGTTTTAACACCTTTTTTAGCTAAAACTTTAAAGCATTCAACTTAGCCATCTCCCTGTTTTGCCTGCCTGCCTCCGCCCCAAAATCATCCATTCATCCTTCTCTTTCATTACTTGCCCCATCCGCGCTGATTGCTTCCCACCCATTTACCATTTTTGGGGTGACTCGAGCAGAAGTCAATTCACCTACAAAAGTTCGCGGACCCGCAACATTTGACCCCTTTGTCTTGCTGTCTCTCTTGCTCTTCCAAGTGCTCCTTTTTCTGTTTTTTTATTTGTTATTTTTTTTTTTGCATCATTCCTATATTCTATTGCCTGCTCGCTTGCACACCTTTTCGTGTAACAGTAATCCAGTTGCAGGCTTTCGGAGCTTTTGTTGCAACACGCTTTTGTGGCACGTTCGTTGCCTGAGTCTTTTGTTTGCCACGCAGATTTATGTCATTCCTTTTGGTTTTCATTTTGCATGGCCTGCAAAGAGGAGGTGAGGAAAGGGGTAGCAACTTTAACTGACCGAAAGTCTGGGATTACAGTGGGCACTTGATGAGTTGGATTTATGCAATGAAAGTATTTATTGAGGAAAAGAGGCTGAATGTGAGCTAAAACTAATTTTTTGTTAAGATTACATTTATGTTTTTAAGTTTAATAATAATTTTTTAAAGAGATTTTTTAAAATAAATTTTTGAAATAATTTGAAAAAACTTTCTATTTTCTGTTATTTTGTATTTTCCAAGTCCCTTTTAACGAGTTAGTCCTGTACTCTTTCAATTGTTGCCTTGCGCCTTTTTGCTATTTCTTTCTTGCCTTGCATTCTGCTGCTGTTTCTGCTTCTGTTGTTGTTGTTGTTGTTCCTGCTGCTGCTTTAGTTTTATTTCTTATTTGTGTTTCTTTTTTCTTCGTTGTTGCTGTTGCTGTTGTTGTTGTTTTTGTATTTTGTGCATTCCTTGGGCGAACGAACCTCAACCGGTTCTGTGTTTGCCATTTTAGTTACATTTTGTCCGTCCGTCGTGCGAAGAGGAAGAGAAGTGGCGAAAATTGTTGTCAGGTTGGTTTGCTCTTTGGCCAAATGCAAAGAGACAGCCTCGAAAGAGATGGTAGAATGGCAGCGTGACAGAGATAGCCTCAACCATTGGGGAACTCTTCTCCTTTTTCCCACCTTCTTTTTGGTTTGGTTTTTGTTTTGGTAGCGATTTGCAGTGGCTCTCCTGCTGCATCCTGTTGAACCGGTTCACCATCCACTCCTGCTGCACGAGAAAAAAAAGAGATTAAAAAAAATAAAGCCACAAAACTGACACAAGTCAGAATTCTAAAGGAGCATTTTTCGACTTTCGGATTACCCAGTAATTGGGTTTTAATATTGTTTTTATGTTAAGAAAAGTGGATTTTATTTTTTATAAAAATTATGGAATTTTAGGCTCTATTAAGAAATCTTTTTTATTAAATAATACAAGAAAAATATCTTATAATCCTTTAAAAAAAATATATAAAAAATATCAAATTGAACTGAAATTAAAATCTTTTTTTCTTCCCCTTCCAACTGTTGCACATACCCTTGCTCTTTATATTCGTTCGTAGCATTAAAAAAAAAACAGCGGTGGCAGCTTGTTTTTCGTGTTTTCCGTTCAGTTTATTTCGGTTTATACGGATTTTTCCTTAAAACTTCTTCTTTCCTCCTGCTGTTGTTGCTATTGTTAGTGCACCCAACACATTCCACACTTGCAACACGAACTTGCAGCATCAAACCTGTTGTGCTATGCAAACGGAGAATAAAAACGTCAAGTTCTATTCGAACCACTGTTGCGCTAACGCAACACTTAACAGTTATGTTAAAAAAGGAGCCAAAGGCAAACAACAACTGTTAGCCATATGAGTTCGATGCGAACGGCAACGTCGAACCGAAGAAATGTTCGATGTGAAAAGTGAAGTTGGAATATTGTAGAGTGCTTCGCTCGCGATTCAAATCGAATTTGGACTTCGCTGTGAACGTTTCCAAAAGGCGTTCGGTCGGAAAACGGTAAAAACGGCAAATCGGGCAAAAGGCGGGGAAGGAAAACTTCATTTCGGAACTCGGCTTTTCGGCCTTTCGACGGGCGCGCGCGTTTCTTTGTCACTGTGTGTGTTTTTATTATTATTATTATCATCATTATTATTATTATTATTATTGTTGCTGCTGTGCGTCGGTGTGTGTGCGTATTTCAAGCGAGGGAGAAATTGTTAACACAAAACAACAACAAAAAATAGAAAAAAAAACCGGTTCCTTTATATCTGCTTTTGCTTCTTCTTCCTCTTCATCGTCGTCGTCGTCGTCGTCATCTGCAATTGCCTTTTCGTAATTCGTAATAACCAAAATCGAAATCGAGCCTCTCGCCTTTTTTATTTTCATTTCGGTTTTTTGGCTCCTGATTTTTCGGTGCGAAAATAAATAAAGAAACCGAAAACAACCACAAAAAAACCATTGCATTGCAAAAAATTACCAATTTTTTTTTACTGTGCGAACGAATATAACAAAAAAAATAAATTCCAACGAATCAGTGAGTGAGAGAAAATCAAGGAGATAAAGTTGAGAATTTAAGAGTCAGTGCCAAAAAAAGAAATATAAGGAAAAAAGTGAGCGAGAAATACGAGAAACAAAACAAAAGTTGCAAATTTAACGAAAAAAAAAATAAAATTAAAACAAGCACAAGCACCAGGAAAGAAATACGAAATACAAGGAAGAAAGGTGAGCGAAAGAAGGGGACAAAAAGAATACGGTAAAAATCGAATTGTTGTTGCCTGCACCCATTCACTTGCATTTTGCGCGAGCAAGAAGGAGATAGAAGTAGGCGAAGTAGGCGCAGGCAAGCAGATAAAAATGTTCTCTCTCTTTTGAGAGGAGGATCAGATCGGTTTAGGTCCTCTCCCTCCTCTCTCTTTTCGGTTTTACTCTTTGTTGTGCATTTTGCATTTATGTTCCCTCTGTTTGTGGTTTTCTTCCTAACAAAAACCCAGCATATTTTGTAATTGCTATCCCTTTCTTACTTGGTACTTGCTTCCGTACTGTGGAATTTTCTATGTTTTTAGAGTGAAAAATAAATGGATTTTTTTTCGAAAATTAAGTTAACTTTGTAGGTTTTGCGTTAAAAAGGAATTTAGTATTCGTTTTTTTATGTTAGTTAAGTAAAAAACATAATTTCAAGGGTTAAATTCGATTTAAAAATGTAAGGTGTTAAAAAATTTCTCGAAAATTTAGTATAGACAGTGTTAAATATGTTAATTTTTAATCGGAAAAAGACAATGGAAATGTATTTTATCTTAAGAATTGAAGTTTTGATCTTTAAAATTGAAAATTTAGCAGTTTTCTTAAGTTTTTTCATGGGAAAAGTATAACATCTTAAGTATTATGATAAAAAACGTATAAGTTCTGAGTTTTTATCATAGATTTTGCCTTGATTTGTGTTTTAAATCAGAAAATATTCAAATACAAGTGACATATTCGAACTTCTAATTACTAAAACTAGTCAAACTAATTCTAAATTAAAGAAAAAATCCCATACTAAAAGGCAATCTATAATTTAGCCTGCATATATAGGAATTTATTTCGAATTTCGCTTGTTAAACGCCATTTTCAGTCCCATAAAATTCGATTTAGTCAAGTTGGGACGGTAGTAGTTTTTGGTTTTAGTTTTTCTAACGCGCCAAGTGCATGACATTTTAATGGCCTGTGGCAAGAGCAGTGTTTTTTGGGTTATGGTTGGGGTAAAGGGGCGTGGCTGGGTAAGAGAGGGAGGGGGAGGGGTGTGGGGACTCCAACATTGTTAAGTGCCTTGCAATGTGCTGCATAAGAGGAGGAGGGAGGGGGTTTGGGGGCAATAGCGGGCTAATGAGCCGCAGCCAATTCGAATGCCAATTAAGCGGAATCTAAATAAAAATTTCAATTTTTGCGGTCTATTTTAGCTGCAGATCAATAGGCCATCGGGGAAATTGTGTAGAAAATTCCAAGGGAAACAGCGCAAACCCATTAAAAATGAAAAGGCAACAAGAAAATGCATTCGAAATTGTTAGTCTATGCTTTTGGGGGTAATATTGGTAGTGAGGAAATTAAGATGCTAAAATAAGTTTTAATGATTTCATAATTAAGTTTGTTCTTAAAGTATTTTCTAGTTTAAACTTTAACTAGTTTACATTATTTAACTATGATTTTCCGTACAATTTCTTCAATTAACTAACTTAACTTAACTTGCTTTTTCTTTCCTAATAAAATAGTTCGAAAGAAGAAACCACAAAGAAAACATTTTTTAAGATGCTCAAATAAATCAGGCAGACCACAAAAAGTTAGTTAACATCGCCATTAACTGTAATAAGGAATTAAAAAAAAAAAGGGCCAAGAACTATGTGAACCTAGACAAGCTATAAAAAAAAAAAATAAAACAAAAGGGAGAATCAAAAACGGAATATAAACGGAAAGAAAAACTATATAAACGGGGGCCCAGATGAAGTTGGCTGAAGATGATAGTTAAATGTGGCTGAGAACAGGGTTTCCCCTCAAAGAGAAGATAGGGGATTAAGATATTTTATAGTTTAAATAGTAGAGATTAAAGATATATAGTATATATATTTATTTGATTTTTTGAACATTTTTTTTAGAGGATTTTTAGGGTTAGGCAAGTTTAAGTTAGTTAAATGTTGCTGAGAACAGGGAAAAAAGCAAAGAAAAGATATGGAATTGAGATGGATAGTACTTTAAACGGCAAGAAAAAGTTGAGATATATACTATATAAGTTTTCTAGATTTTAACTGGCATTTTTTAAGGGTTTTTAAAAGTTGTTAGTTAAGATTAAGATGGCCAAAAGTAGCAAAAGGCAAAGAAAATCAAAGGAAATATTTTAGATAAAGTTTAAAGATTTCTAAAGATTACATAAATCAAAATTCCTTCCACATTTCACGATATTTTTAAGAATTTTAATCAAGTTTAAGGTAGTTAAATGTTCCCGAAAACAGGAGAAATCAAAGAAATGTTGAGATATTAAGATAGTTAGTAATTTAAACGGCAATAAAAATAAAGATATAAAATTTCTCAATTTTTCTGAGTTATTTCGAGGGTTTTTAAAAGTGCGTTAACCAAGTTTGAGATGTTTAAAAGACGCAAAAGGCTAAGGAAATCAAGTAAAACATATTAGATAAAAAATATTCTAAAGATTAAAGTTTAAACCTATATACTATATACATTTACCATAATTCCTTCCACATTTCAAGGGATTTTCAAAGTTATTAATTAAGTTTAAGACCTCGAGACGACTTGCCAGCCAAGTTGTAGTCAAAGTCGAAGTCGTCTCTTCTTCAATAACTTGGGTTTCCTCTTACTCTCTCTTCATTTCCCCTTTTAATAGCCAAAGGGGCCTCAACAGAGTTTCATTTTTCTTGTTTATTATTATTTTAATTTTATTTTTTTCTTTATGATTTTGTGCTGTTTGTTGTTGTGTTTGTTGTTGTGTTGTTTGTTTGTTTGCTGTGGTTGTCTTCCGTTTAAGGTTATATTTATTCAACTTTTATTGCAGTCGCCGCGTGCGACAAATGAAAATAAACGGAAAGTAAAGATGAAAAACGTTAGGAAAAAGCACAAAATAAATTGAAAATTCCCAAAAAAAAAAAAAAAAAAAGAGAAGTTAAGGTTGAAGTTGATTTGATTACATTTTGGCAGCAGGAAAATTATATTAGAAAAACTCTGTGAAAAGTTATTGTAATTTATGTCTTTGGAAAATGATTTTAATTTGATTTTAACAGGGCTAAGTCTGCTTTTTTGCTTTCCACATTTTAATTAATAAACAAGAATATTGATTAGTTTTAATTTAAGTTTAAGGTTTCCGCCTTTTTTAATAAGTTTTTCATGTATTTTCCCAGAGAAATTGTTTACTTTCTTTGCTTTCCTTTTTAACTTTGCCAGTTCTTTGTTAGTTTCTATATTAATCATGAAAGAAAAGAGTAAACCCTTTATAGATATTAAATTTCCCAATGATTTTTCCATCTGTTGCAAGATAAAGATAGAAAGAGAAAACTAGACAGAAAAAAGGGGGTTTTGGTGAAGGGAAAATGTCGGCCGCCCATGGTAACTTGACTTTGATTGCTTTCGGCTGATAAACGTTTGGAAAAAAAAAGAAAATTCCAACTAAAACGGACATACTCCCACTCCTCCCTTTACAATTTCCCCCCTCGCCCTGCGACAAATTGTGTGTGTGTGTGTGTGTGTTTTTTTTTTAAGCAACGGAAAGCGTAGAAAAAAAAACAGTTTTGTCATGCTCCTCTTTGCTCATATGACAATTGTCTCTCCACATTTCCATTCTCATATTTTCCATTGGGTTTTCCTTCTTCTCCATCTCCTTCCCCTTTTGTTTTTTTGCTCATTCACGGTCAACCACTTGACCTGGCCAACAATTTCCACTCCTTCGACCACGTTGATGACTTCATGTCAGCAAGTTTGCAACGTTTTGGGGCAGGGGTAGGGCTTGGAAAAGCAAATGTCAGTGGAAATTATCTTTCGAAGAAATAATCATTTTGAATTTTTTTATTTTTTTTATTTTTTTGATATGTCGCTGAGTCCCTGACAAGTCCCTGAGAAGCAGAAGAAGTCTTCTGTTTTTCCGACTGCGTGAGAAAATGCCAAGTTTTTAATGTTAAAAGGGGTTTTCTGTAGGGGGGGAAATGAAGGAAATGCAAGGGAAATGTCTGAAGTATAAAAATGTTAAATGTTTTTTTTGATAGGAAAATTAAGTTATTTAAGGGAATATTTAAGATTTTCCCTAAGAAATTTCTTTGTTTTGGTAAGCTAAAACTTAAATTTCAAATATTTTAATTAATTTTTCCAATCTAAGATTTTATATAATACCAATTAAGTTAACAACCAGCTTTGAGGGAAGTCAATCAAATGGAATCAAATCAAAGTTCTTTCATCTCACTTTGGTTGGCCTCCCTTCTGTCTCTTTCTCTATCTTTCTGTCTCTCTTTTCTAACACAAAATTAAATATTTTTGTCCATCTTGTTTCCATATTAAAACGTTTTATGGCCCAAAGACATTTTGATTTTCATGATGCTCGAATTAAAATGCAAAAAAGAGGCAGGGGGAAAAAAAAAGAAGCAGATAATGAAATCAAAACTCAAATCGATTAGCCCAAAAAAATGATAATGGTAAATGTTAATGAGAAGCAAGTCGCTGCGCGTGATTTTTCGCCCGACTTAAAGTCGTTTTATATTCCATATGATATCTCAGCAAAAAAAGAAAGAAAAGAAAAACCAAAATAATAAGAAATCAAGAATGGAAAACAAGTCAAACTTGGCCCTGACTTGGCCTAAAAGAAAGAAAAAAAGCATGTCTTGAGAGAAATTTGGTAATTCAGAGCGTTTAATCATTTAAAAAGCATCTTTGTAAGCGAGTCCTCATAGCAATTTTCTTAGGAATAAAGAAGGAAATTTTTTAGGTTTTTTATTTTGGTTTTGCTTGAAGGGTTTTTTGTATGCCCTCTAAAAAGTTGGATATTGTAAGGTTTTTTAAGGGGTTTGTTAGGGAGTGAACTTGGAATTTGTGAGGGTTTCGAATTTTCTTAGTTAGATTTGGAAAATATATATGAAAATAAAGATAAAATAAGATAATATACTTAAAACTACTTATAAAACTAAGATAGTTTAAGAATAAGACGATTTAGGATGAAAAATTCTTGATTTCTTACATAGCCTTCTGCATTTTTCATGTTTTTCTTTCATAATTAATCGATTTTGTAAATATTTCTTTAATTTTTCTTTTTAAAATAATGCTACTAAAGGTGTTCTTAAACTAAACTGAGTTTAAATAAGCTAGGAACTTACATAACATTCTGTTTTTGATGTTTTAACATTCCTAAAAGATGGATTTTCTGAACGATTTTGTGACTTTATAAAGAAGGAATATTGCCAGCCATGTTTTAGTAGATCTCCCCTTATAACTTCCCTTAAATTAAAGCTTCTAACAAAAATAACATCTTATTTATTTACTATAAATATAAAATATTTCAATTTAGTGTCGAAAACTTCTCTTAAATATCCTTAAATATCTCATAACTGTCAAAGAACTTTTCAATTTGCAAGAGTATCTTCAAATTCGTTTTCAAACTTTCTTTTCCCTGCCATTATTTTTTGTATATATTTGTCCTGTAAAACAGTCCAAAGTTGTCGTTGATTTTATTTTTTTATATATACAAAAAAAGTCACAGTTGGCAAGATTCTGCCGCCCCCCTTCACCCCCGTTTGGTCACGCATTGAACTAAAGATTGAGGTCACCAAAAAAAAAGAAAGAAAAGCAGACGAGGATTTTCATTGGGACTGTGGAAGGAAATGCGTGGCAAGTAGGCGCGCGTGGCGCCTCAGTTTCGGTATCAATTCCACCGCCCACAACCTCTATAACCCTCGTAGGAGACGCCCCTGAATAAGGCACCCCACCCACCTCCTTTAACCCAACAATTGGCCTTGCCTTGCCGGCGGGCCAAAAGTTACAATAACTTTTGCCACAGTTTAAGTTGCTGCTGCCGCCGTGCCATTTCGTATCTTTTGTATCTTTTCTTGGCCTTTTTTTTTAAATATTCTTTTTTGTTGTATTTTTTTTTTTTTTTGCGTACTCCGCTCTTCTGCTTCTTCTTAAGTTTTTCAGGGGGAGGGCAAGGGGGCGTGTCAGTGTCATTGCTACTCGAATGCATTTTAATTCGATTGAGCATCTCACGCCGTTTTTGGGCCGACTTTTTCGGTTTAAAATTCGCGATAAAAAGGGGGTGGGGTATGGGGTATGATAAAATATATATTAGAAACTATAACGACTTAAGATTTAGCTGTTTTAACTTATAAAAACTTAATTAATATTTAATTTTTAAGCCTTAAAAAACAAGAAAAATCTATAAAGTCAGCCTTGAGCTTGTTTTTGGCAAGAATTTTGGTTTAATGACTTAAAAACTCTTAAAAAAATATTACAAAAATGTTATTTTAAATATTTTCCAAGTCATAGGGTATCAAAAAGTCTATCCATCTCTCACATTTGAAAACCAATTCTTATTTTCACTTAATTTTTTTTTCGCAATGACTACGACTTTTTTTTTTTTGCCAAGACTAGCAAAAGTTTGATTCTCTTTTTTATTTTCGGTTGAACTTTATTTAGTAGTTGGTTTTATTTTCTTAAGTTTTTTTCCTCTGTTTTCTTTTTTTGCTTTTTAAAGAACAAAAGAAAATTGAACTTGAGGCAAGTTTGCTTGCAACTGAAGAAAGGTTTTAGCCCCGGGGTCAGGGTTTCGGGGAAGGAATGGAGAAAAGAGAAAAGGGCTTTAAAAAATGGTCAGCAAAAAGCGGTGGTTATCCCTTCTTGTCATCTATAAATCTGGGTTTTTGCGGTTTTTATTTATATTTCTTTTGTTTTTTTTTTTTTTTTTTGGTTTTGGTTTTAAATGACTCACAAAGTTGTTAGATTGGGGGCAATAGAAGTAAGGGAACTGGATTGTCCACATAAAAGTGTTAATTTCTCAAGTTTTCGAATAAAATAAACCAACAAAAAAAAGAAGAAGCCTAAAAATTATGATAAATATTCATGAGCCCAGTGAATCAGATGGGCTGTCAAAATAGTTTGAAAGTTGAAACAAATTGAAGGGTTTTTTATATGAAAGATTGGTGTTAGAAAGCTATGAGGGAGTTAAGTTTAACTTTAAGACGTTATTTAAGTTAAATTAAATTAATTTTTGATAATTCCAAGATTTAACCTTATTATTAAGCATTTTTCTTAACAATTAACCTTTTAAGAATATTTAACTGCATCTGAGAAAACTTTAACTTAGCTTTCCATTTAGTTTTCCTTTTCCATTGTTTATTATTCAAAAATTGACTAACTCTTTTTGTGATCTTTTTGCAGGCATAACTTTGGGGTTACCAACTTTGCCAGCATCATTGCATCTGTTTGTTGGTTGCACAGCGCAGAGTCCAGCTTTTTAGAGTGGACCAGTTGGAAAAACAAAAGCCAGAAAAGGAAAAGCAGCAGAAACCGAAACTGCAACTGGGAAAAAGATAGAGAGAGAGAGAGTAAAACATAAACACACAGGTAAGTGAAGCAGAAGTAAGGTGAAGCCACCTGTTGTCAACTAAGTGAACTTAAGTTAACTAGTAACTAGTATCTAGGATAGACTATCTACTGACTCATACGTATCTGTATCTTGTTTTGTTTTTTTAAGAAGGGGGGGTTCTCGTATGTAGTAACTTGTATCTTGTCTAGTGTGTCAAAAGTGAGCGTAAAACTTTGCGCTTTCGACTTGTAGATACTTTACACTAGCCAGCTAGCCTAGCCACCTTATAAACTATACCTTAACCTAACAAGTAACTAAGAGTTAACCTCCCTACCTCCCTCCCTTTAACTTACATCCGTTGCTTTTGTTTGGCTTTCTTGGAGTTTGCTATCTTTTGAGATACTTTCTTCGTATTTCGGTTATTGTTCTTTTTTGGTTCAGCTTCAGTTTCAGTTTTCCTCTCTGCCTGGCCTGGCCTGACTTGGCTTGGCTGCAATTTTCCAAACAAACAACAACAAATGCAGCTGCAAAACTCTTTGGAACAAATTTTCGTTGTTTTCTGGGTCTTTTTTTTCCTCTTTTTCGAGGTTTTTCTTCTTGTGTTCGGCTTTTCTTCGGAGAGGGGGTAGAAGAAAAACAACAACAACAACTCACTCACTCGACTCGATCGACAAATATTTGTGATTGCAATTAGCGTTCACCTGTGATTGAGCTGCTATTTGTTAGGGTTAAGCAGAGGAAAATTCTAGAGTTTAAAAGTAATTTGCATAGGGATTTTCGAAGGGAAATGTAAGAGTTTTTTAGGGTTATGTTTTGATGGGGGGAAAACTGTTAGGGGTCTCTCTGCGATTTATGAGGCTTAAAACGGTCCATATCTGAAGGTTACATATGGGGTATTATCTTTTTAATATATTTCTCTCACCTGAATAAACTTTTTCTGGTCAAGAAAAACCCCTGAAAAAAAAGGTCCAAAATCACAAATTACTGATAAAAAAAGAGAAGAAAACCCGACGAAGAGCTGAGTAAACTTCACTTAAGTTGGGAACAACTTATCGCTTTTTTTTTTTCTCACTTAAATCCCCCGCCTACCTGGCTTTCCCCCCTCCCACGACCTCTTCTCGCACTTTACCCGTCCGTTCGTCCGTCCGTCCGTCGAACCATTCAAATTTAAATCAATTTGATTCTGATTAGCCACACACGCAGTTTTCTCCTCTGCTGCCCCTGCTTCTCCTTCTTCGTCATCAACCAACCTCTTCCGAACAAAATAAACCTTTTTTCAGTTTTTTTTTTTATATTTTGTCGCCATGGTTTTTCGAAGTAAATTTCGAAGTCGTTTTCTTCAGCAAAACCTCGAATGTTGTTGAAGTTGTTGTTGTTGTTCTTTGTACCTACAACTAGTAAATAAATTAGTTTTTATTATTGAGAAAACAGGTTTCCACTTTAAACCGAGCCAGAGCGAGAGGCAGCGATATAGGGAGTCGGAATGCTGACTCTTGGGCACGCAGGTTCAAAAATGGTAAAAAAGCAAGTAACAGAAGGCATTGAGAGAAATTTTTTTTTGGTTATTTATGAAAGTATTTTAAAGTTTTTCTATTTTTTTATGAGAAAAAGTGTTTAATTTTTGTTCGATTTTAATTAAAATAAAATGTTTATTAATTATTAAAAAGAGAATTTAAAATAAAAATGTCTAAAAAGTGGGAAAATATTATTAAAATTGTAAATAAAATTGTTTTAAGAGGCATTTTATATGAAAATAATTAACAAAATTGTTTAAGAAAGTATTTTATATTAGTTAAATATTTAATTTTATAAAAAGAAATACAATTTTTAAGGTTTTTTTAAACAGTTTTATTATATTTATAAGCAAAAAATTAGCTAAAATAAACAACAAAAATTTAGTAAATATTTTTTGGCTCTAAAAAAAAAGAGCTTCTTTCAAAAAAAGATTTAAAAAATAAAAATTAAAATTTTAAATATTAACAAAACAAAATAAAACTTAAATTATAACTTAAAATAATCCTAAAAAAATTATCATTAAATATTTACCAAATTTAATAACCCTTAAAAATAAAATATTTAAGCAATTTTTTTTTTTTTTTTTGCCTAATTTTAAGTAATTAATTTAACTAAATTTTTTTTTAGTGCATAGGAAAAAAAAAAGAATTCTTTCACAGTTCGCTGACAGAACCTGTTTAAACAGAAAGAGACAGAGCCATAGGCCAGGCAGGTAGACTGCTAGAAAGAGAGAGGCAGACAGAAAAGGGTTCCAATACCGAATGCGGAGTCTTCTCTTGGCTTCTTTCGCTCGATTTCTTAACACTTTCGTGATTTGAATTTCTTCTCTCCTCTTTTTTATTTTTTATTTCGAATCAATTAAATCAATGGAAAATGCACAGAGTTTTCTCACTCCATAAAAGAAGAAGGAAAAAACCAAGAAAAAAAAGCAAAGAAAAACAAAGAAAAACAAAGAAAATCAAAGAAAAAACAAAGAAAAACAAAGAAAAACATAGAAAAACAGGGAAAATTCAAACAAATTATGAACAAACAGCAGTAAAAGAAGAAAACGAAGTAGAAGAAGAATTTGTATCTCATGGATATATGGATGGATGGGGGGCGACCAGTATAGGCTATAAACCCAAGGAGTTGGCCAAGCGATGAAATATTATTATTCAATGCCATCGATGCGCTCTGTTTGCCATCCACTTTAATTTTCCTCATCGTTTTTCCAGCTTGTATTGCTTGTATTGTTGGCCACTGTTTATGCGCCGTGTCTAATGACAGTTTTGTGGTCATTATTTGATATATATATCTATACTTTATATATCCTATATCTGTATATATAGATATATATGGCAATATATATAGGCTCTTAGATAGCCGGGTGTGATGCGTATTTATGCGCTGGATAACGCCCTAGAAAATCCGACACAAACAAGCTGAATTTTCGCAATTAAATGTTGGCCATAAATTAAATGTTTGTCCATTGTTGTTGTTGTTGTTGTCGTTTCAACCATAAAAACAAAAGAAAAAAGAAAAAATTGGAATAGTGACTTGAAAATAATAGATAAACGAATGTTAGATACCCTAGAAGGGAGTTTGGGGAAGTTTTCTTATGTGAAATGATTTATGGAATTTTGGTTATTTAAGGCTAAAGAAAATATTGTAAATATTTATTTAACAATTTTTAACTATTATTTAACTTGATTTGTAACTTTTTCTAATCATCTCGAAGTTCTTGAACTGAAACTAAAGGGCTGAAGGATTATAATAAGCCCTTTGAAAGCTTAAAAAGTTGCTAAAATGTTTAATAAAGTTGTGGTTTTAAAAGTTATTTCTGTTTAAAAAATATTTTAAATATTATTCTTAAAATATTATATTATAAAATGTATTAAAGAAGCTTAAGAGGTGGTCAAATGTTGGTTGTTTTTAGTCTATAAAACTTTTACTGAACTTAATACCAACTTTTCAAGGGTATTTTTAAAATATTAAAGGAATCTGAAAGTCTGAAGGCGATGAAATACTTTCTACAGCTAAAATGTTAAATATTATATTATAAAATATCTTCAAAATATTAAGCTGATGTTCAACTTTATCCTAAATTTTTAAGATTATCTTCAACATCTTGTTTGAATTTTAAAAGTCTGAAGAGGATAAAATACCATTTATAAGCTTAAATAGTATTTAAAATGTTAAATAAAAAGAATTATCTTCAAAATCATAAACTGATCCTCAACTTTATCCTAACTTTTCAAAATTCTTTCCAAGATGTTAAATTAAATCTAAAAGTCTAAACTATAAAGTACCCCATAAAAGCTTAAAATATAGGTAAAAAAGGTAATTTTTTCAAAATTTCAAACTTGTTCTTAACTTAATCCTAATTTTACAAAATTCTATCCAAGATGTTGAATAAATCTAAAAGTCTTAACTATAAATTAGTAGCCTATATAAGCTTAAAATATACGTAAATTATCTTTAAAATCATAAACTGATGTTGATCCTAACCTTTTTTTTTTTTAAATTTTTTTCAAGATGTTGGGTTGGGATGAGGGAACTATAAAGTGTCCTATATCAGCTTAATTTTGGTAAAATGGTTAAATTATTTTCAAAATATCAAACTTATTCTCAACTTGATCCTAACTTATAAGATCTTTTTTTAAAATCTTAAAAAAACCTAACTTAATGTTAAGTTTCTTAAGAGTTTCTTATAAATATAATATTTTGGGGATAATATAATATTAAACCACTGGGAAAGTTCTTAATTTCTTGTTAAATCTCCAGAGGAAAACCTTTCCCTAGAAGTCTTCTTAACCCCTTTAACCATATCTGTGTTAAGAAATATCTTAACTCTCAGTTCTAAACCCTTTCATGTTTATTTCTTAGATCTTAAATTGATCTTAAAACTAAAAACATTTTAAAAATTGAATAATTTTCATTATGGTAACCCCTAAGAAAACCTAAAACCTACCAATCTTTCTTAACCCCCTCTAGCCATACCTCTTATAAGTCTTGCCTTAACTCTTAGTTCCCTTCGATTGAATTTGAATTTGATGCGATAATGGTCATCACACTATATAATCATCAGCATGTCGATTGTTTATACACACACACACACACACACAGATACACACTCTCACACATACAAACACACACATATACATACATATACACTTCCGAATCAACAATATATATATAGTCTTATATGGTCAATGGTTATGGGCCATATAAATGATGATGCTGCTCATTTCTGGTTCGATATTGCCTTGTGGTTGTTGTTTGTTTGTTTCTTGTTGTTGTTGTTGTTGTGTGTGTGGGCCGCTGGTGTTTTTGTTGTTGTTGAAATGCCGCCTCTGATAAATGAGTTTTAGGCTTTTTTTCCCTCTTCTTCTTCTTCTGTTGTTTTCTTTTTTTGTTAAAACGACGTGGGAAAATAATGCATTGATTTACATGGCCAACACATGGATGGATGCAAAACAATGGCCAATGACCAAAAGCCAACATTGAGACCAAGTCTAGACATTCTGGTTAGGCAAGGGAAGAA